GTTCGTTGTATTCGATGTCTATAAACTCCATAGTTGTATTTTCGGTGAGCATGGTGACGCGAGTGCTGATTCTTGTTGAACCCTGACGAACACCCACCAAATTGGCTGACATGCAAGGTCTGTTCGCTGAGGTGCGGATGTGGAAGTAAAGATGAGGTGTCGAGACCAGGACAGGTTGTACAATTCGAAAGCTAACCATGTCGTTTTAAACGGGCCTCAGCTCAGGGTTTGTGAGGAAGATGATTGCCACTTCTACACAAAAGACGAATGAGAGGATGGAAAAAGCGAATATCAGAAGCCTCGTATTGAGTTTGAGGTGGTTATGTGAACTGGCGTTCTTGTGAAAAAGATGGTGTACGTTGAAGTCTTGAATGAGTTCGATGACGTACTTGACTGAAAAGCCGAAGACCCCAACCCTTCCTTTGTTTGTCCGAAGAAGAAATGCAGAAGCTGTGCTATCGATGATGAGTAAAATCAGGAGAGAGAAGAAGGCGATAAGGATGTCGTCTCTGTTTTCGGTCAAATCCCTTCGAAATGGACCGGAAACTAGCTTTTCCACCATAAAAGCATCGCTCAGGAATGGGTTCACATCCGTGGAATTCGTGGCGTTGACAAAATGGTTTTCGTTGTCGTAAGCCACAACGAGATATGGGTTGTCGTTGTTACCGACGACCTGTTCAAACAAGGGCATCGTTTGAGGTCGGTTTCTTGAAGATTTTGTCTCTAAGACTATGCTCTCCTATGGCGAGAAACAAGGGAATAATAAATCTACTGGGGCACGTATGTAGCGAAGAGGCGAATGGGTAACACGTGACGAAAATAAACAGCGCTTCAGAAAATGCACGAACGAGGAAGACGGTTGAGCCATTGGAGGCCTGGAAGATGTTGGTTCGTTGCGAGTGTGCTGGTGACACTCTGAGGCCAAGAGCGCTTTCGAAACTAAGAGAGGTCCCACAAAGACGTCTAAACTGTATGAAGACCCCCTTCCAGGTTCGGAGAGTCACCAGATGAAAAGGATAAATTCAGGAGAGCAAGTTGCCAATGAGGATTATACCTTTTCGCCATCCCAAAAGAGAGAGGAGAGCATTTCGCGGCCTATAGATATCGAAAACCACGAGGTTACGAAAAGTGAGTTCAAGTCTGTCGTGCCATAAAGATGAAAAGCAGGGGTGTGAGATGGTGAAGTGGCGAGGTGAATCACGTCTGCCAGACATGGATGACAGTACTGTACGTGGAGAAATTTATAAATTAAATATCTCTTTAGCTTGCTCCCCTCCGCTCTCTGTTTTATACATGCACTGAATTCATGTAGCTCAAAAGCACTACTAATCAAGGAAACCGACAAAGGCAATCTGCAAGGTTACAGTAGCGCGGGAAAAGATACAGAACAGTAGTAAGCATCAGGTACTGTACCTGCAAGCCACTTGAAGGAATACCCACATTTCGACCAAAGTTTCGCATGAAATTGATTGCGGACAACGGCGCGCAATTGCGGCCTGGATCAGGACCTCGGTGAGACAAAACGGTCCGGCAAACACACACAAGCGCCCCGATCCACGTCATTGGTACGGTAATTCCGCCGGCGGTGATCGGGGTGATCGTCGCACACCTCGACCTTCGACCGTACCCTTCGCCTCGGCTTCGTACCGTTCGCGCTCCTGGATTCCTGTCTGTTCTCAGCTCGGCTCGGGTTAGGTACTGTGCTTGGTACTGGGTTTCCGTTAATTTACTTTTTCGTCGAAGGAGGTGGCCAACATGGACAAAACGTAAGACGAAAAGACACAATTTTGGGTGTCTTCAAGGCTATGCATAGAACCTTGGACTCTTTCCGTCCTCTGTTCTTTTTTTCGGACAAAGATTCCGGGCAGCTTGACGCTATCAAGCGTGTGTATGGTATTAATCCGTCTCTGTGCCTTTGGCATTTGAAAAGGGCAATTAAGCAGAAGATATCGGGACTGAGAAAAGAAAAGCGTCCTTTCGAAGGAAAAGGAGCAAGCGCTGATGGACCTGATTACCCTGCACTTTAATCGGCATCCTTTTTTTGACAAGCACTTCTCCAT